CCCGCCCCTCACTTCCCGGCCCGGCCCGGCCCGGCCCGGCGCCGGATCCCGGCCTGCGCCGTCCTCCCCTCGTCCTGCTTCTCTTCCCGTCTCCCAGACGCGTCTCCCGACCCGGTCCTGCCGTCCAGTCCTCCGCATCCTTCTCTTCCTTCCCGTCCTCTTCCATCCCCTCGCCCTTTCTTGCCCCTGCCCGCGTCCTCTCGCTCCCTCGCCCTCCCTTCCCCTCCGCTCTGCACCTCCCTTCTCCCCGCCGTCCCAGCTTCATCCCTCATCCTAGCCGGTTCCAGTCTCTGCAGGAGGATCTCCCCAGCCTCTTCATGCCGTCCTCTCCTCCGCTTCCCAGCCGTTCTCCTACCCTTTCTCCCCGTCTTCTCTCCACCCTTCTCCCTCTCCTCCCGGGCTTTCTCACCACCTCCTCGCTGCTCGCTCCTCGCACCTTCCGTCCATTCTCCTCGCGTCCTCTTTTCCCTGCCCCCCCTCCCGGTCCCCCCCATTTTCTCCTGCTAGTCACTTTTCGTTCCCTCATGTTCTTTAACCCTTTTCCCCCTTCCCGCTCTTGGATCCTCTTCACTTCCTCGTGAATCCCAAACTTGAGGCCAGGAATTGGGAGGTATTGGACTGACTAGTGTAGGCGCTGGTGGCCCAACTTAAAGACTGTGTGCCCCGGAAAAATACAGCGAGAGGGAAACTGGGCAGGGACGTGGGGGATCTTGAGGGGCCAAGTTTAAGAGAGAAAATGAGGAAAGGTCAAGTCAGTCAGAAGTGGAGAATAAGTGATCTGACCTTCTTAGGGCTGGGAGTAGCTGGTGAGAGAAAAATAAAAAGATATTTGGAACTGAGACTAGTACGCATGATACAAGAAGATCAGGAACTTCTAGGGAGGGAGAGAGAGCAAAGTCTATCTTAACGCTGCAGAAGGATTTTGAGTGTGATTTTGGAAGAGAGCGTGAGAGAGCGCCTGAGGACCTCAACGACATCCAAGTTTCTGGCTGGGCATCTGGGTGGATGGTGACATTCACTGTTAGACAATAGGATGGGGGGTGGGAGGGGGCCTGGTGTAGAAAGATGATGACTTGTGATTTGGGCTGCTGACTTTGAAGCGCCTGCTGGGTAGGTAGGTCTGTAACCCAGCAGAACAGTCTGGGGTGGACGTAAATATTTGGGACTCATCTGCAAATGCCGTATAAGCTTGAATATAGGGTGAGGTTTTTGCTTTTTTGTTTTTCCAAAATCATCCTTCAGGAAAGAGGGAGTAACCTTATATTTGAGTCCTAACAGAGTCTCTCATATTACAGGGTTTGCTCTCATTTACTTTATTTTGAACAACAAACCACTAGATAGGGCAGTATGGTATGGTGACTAAGCTTGTGGACTCTGGAGCCAGACTGCCTGGCTCGGGGTCCGGGCTGTGCCATTTGCAAGCTGTGTGATTTTGGGAAAATTGCTTAACCTCTTTCTGCCTCAGTTTTCTCATCTATAAAGTGGGTTTAGGGATCAAATTCTTTAATATAGGTAAAGCACTATGCATCTGGCACTAATCAAGTGTCCAATAAATCTTAAGTAGTTTTGGTATCTGGGCAGGACTCATTTACCTGAAATCTCTTCAACAGTGTTATTTTGGATTCTTGTAGAGGTCATTTGCCACGGAATCCGCACCCAAAGAAATTTAACACAGCATTGGTAACTATTTCTGGTGTTATGACCTCACAATTGCATGTATAAGATGTCTCTAAATATACTTTTAAAAGATTGCTTTAAAAAGCAGTACAGTAGTACTTGGGAGGGGCTCCTGGGATTCCTGAAATGCTCTATATCTCGAACCGAGTGCCGATTGCTGTTATGTGGGTGTTTCACTTATGACAGCCCGTTGAACTGAACACTTGTGATGTGCCCTTTTTGGTATAAATGTTATGCTTCAGTAAAAAAGTTAACAATTGAAAAGTGATCTTTTAGAAACAATACCTCAAATGATTCTGTGAATATCCCCTTGCAGGCTGCGTGCCAAACCCAGCGGCCCTAGTGTGATGCAAATGGGACTTGTGACTTGGGTTAAAGTTTCCAGTGACTGAATGTATCCTCCTTGGATTCAAACTGCTGTGTTGTCTCCCAAACGCTTCACATAGTCTAAGAAAAGGTCATCTTTTCTGGAGAAATGTGTGAGATGGCTAACAAGTGACCCTAATGATGAGAAAGATACTGCTTTTGAAGATGCATGTTAAGACTGTGAATAACATTGTTTAATAACTTACAAGAATAGAAAAAAGCAATACTTACAAATCAATTATACTATTTCATATGCTACATGAATCTGAATAGATGTGTAATCAACTCCATTAACTAACAGGAGACTGATTATTCCATCCTCATCTTTAAAGGTGTACATTTTCAGGTTGGTCAGAATCCTTCTCATTGGGAAACTGAGGAATGAATGCCTTAGGTTTGGGTTGCCTGTATGGTAAATGTGAAGGATGGTAAGTGAAGCTAAGTGGGTCAGATTGCTGAGGGAGAGCATGTACATTAGGAAAAGAAAATCGCTTAGAGGAGCCGGGCGTGGTGGCGCATGCCTGTAATCCCAGTACTGGGGAGGCTGAGGCAGGAGGATCATTGCGAGTTCGAGGCCAGCCTGGGCTACAAAGTGAGCTCAAGGTCAGCCCGAACTGCATAGCGAGACCCTGTCTCAAAAAAAGACAAAAAAAAACCAACAACAACAAAAAAAAAACAACAAGAAAATCGCTTATTACAAATCCTGAGATGCTCCAACCTTTAAAGCTTGACAAGAGGAGAAGCTGTGCTGAAGATCAAGTGACAAGGTGTGGCCAGAGAGGGTGGAGAAAGGAAAGGAGATGGGCAGTGCCTCCCGAAGCCAGGGAAAGTTTTAAGAATAAGCCACGATGTGGGGAGTAGTCATCAGGGTCGATTGACACAGAGGAGGCCAAAAAAATGAGGGCTGAAAAGTACCCAATGGGTTTTCCAAGGTTGGGTGGCGGATAACCTTGGGGACAGTGGATGAAAGAGTGGTAGGGATGGAAGCTGGCTGGCACTCAGTAACACAGAAGTGAGCAGGACGTGAGGAACTAGATACTTGAAGTAGCGCTAGGGCTTGATTACAGGAAAGGAGAACTATGGAGTGAGGTAGGGGACTGGGCAGGGGTTTTAGTGGGTAAAAGAATTTTTCAAATAGGAGAACTTGCATTTATTTATTTTCTCGCTTCTTTCATTTATTGAAGGCACACATAGTTACCTGCTGTGTGCTTAAGACACATAGCTAATTAAGGCTGGATTAAGCAGCTTGAAATAAGCTGTAAAGACAAATCTGGCAAATTGGCACTGGAACTATAATGAGAGAGGAGATCATGCAGTTGTGGACATAGAAGGGATTCCTGACCCAGGCCAGGGTAGGAACATAAGGAAATAGTGTCATAGGGGTGACAGTAAAGCTGGACCTGGAAGACTGAGTGAAGTATGCCGGGGGGGAGAAGTTGGAGAGATGAAGGACTTTTAGGCAGAATAAACAGTAGCATGTTCACAGTCACAAGGGCATGAGAGAAAATAGCTCTGACCGTGGAGGATGGTATGGAGATGGAGGTGGAGGTGGATGTGGAGGTGGTCCTGTGTTGATTGCCTTAGCTGCAGTGTGAGGAATAAGACCAGGTGTTGGAAAAGAAAGCAGAAGTGGGACCAAGTCATGCAGAATATTGTATATCATGGGAAAGGTCCAGGGTTTTTTTTTGTTTTTTTGTTTGTTTTTTGTCTTTTTTTTTTGTTTTCCTTCCTGTATCAGGAATCGAACTCACGACCTTGCACTTGCCAGGCAGGCACTGTGCCACTGAGCTGAATCCTCAGCCCTTTTTTGGTCTTTTTGAGACAAGATCTCACTATGCAGTTCAGGCTGGCCTTGAACTCACTTTGTAGCCCAGGCTGGCCTCAAACTTGCAACGATCCTCCTGCCTCAGCCTCGCGAGTGCTGAGATTACAGGCATGTGCCACCACATCTGGCTATTGAAAGGTTTAGTAAGGAAAATAAAATGATCAAGTTAGGTGTCATTAACGTCATTTTGGCTGCCATTAAATACTGAGAATGAAAGGAGACCAGATAGGAGGATTTCCAGTTCAAGCCCACCCTGGGCAATTTAGCAACTTAGTGAGATCCTCAGATGAAAAATATTCTTAAAAGGGCTGCTGGAATGCAAAGGCTCTGGGTTCAGTCCCCAGGACCAAGGGAGGGGAAAAAAAGAGCCAAGCTAGATATTTCAGAGCCCTCAGAATGTAGGTGGTAAGTGGAGCCATGCCTGTGAATGTGGTCAGTTATAGATATGTAGTGAGAGGAGTGTCTTGGCATCCTGTAAGCGCTAGGTAACAGAAGAGAAATGAAGGAGATTGAGAGGAAGCACTCAACCAAGTAGGAACCAAAGAGAGTAGTGTCCAAAGTGCTATCATAGAAGCCAAGGAAAAAAATGTCAGGAGAGTTAAAATACCACAATAAGATGAGTCTGAAGGGTCTCTATTAGATTTTGAAATCGAATATAGCTGATAGTCCTAGTGATCAAAGGACAGAAGAGGAAAGATAGCAGACCACAGTGAGATAAGGATAGAGTGGAAGTAAAATACTAGTGACTGTATGTAAGAGGGAAAAGTTAAAGAAACCCAATTTAAATTAGCTTGGAAAAGAAGATAAGCAAACCTGGATGGAACCAGAAACAGAAATACCATCAAGGCTTTCTCTGCGTCTCTAGTTTATGTTTTTCATCTCATCTCATTTTGTGTATTAGCTTCACCTTCCGCTACTGGTTTTTTAGGTTAACTTTTTATTTTGGCATAAGTTTAGATTGATAGAAAAGTTATAAAGATAGGACTGAGTTTTCCCACATACTCTTCATTAAGCGTCTTCTAATTAACATTGACTAACTTTGGTACATTATTATTAACTTCTGTGATTTCACCAGCTTTTCCACAAATGACTTTTTTCTACCCTAGGATTCAATTTACTATACCACAGTGCATTTAGTCATCATATTTAGTGAGTTTCCTCTGGTCTATGACAGTGTCTCCATCTTTGCTTGATTTTTGGAAATTGAGAGTTTAAAGGTTCTAACAGGGGAGCGCAGCTACTTATATACCCTTGACCTAGGGTTTGTCCTCTTTGAAGCAGTGCACAGCTTTGGGAGGGATGCACATGGAGTGGTAAGGGAGGACAGGACACCCACCTAGCCAGCCAGATCGGTCAAATCAACCCTGGGGATCAATCAGATGTTGCAGCCAGATTGCCCTCACACTCATCCATCTTCACTTGGTGTTTTTATGACCTTAATGTTTTGAGGAGTACTGGCTAGGAATTTTTGTAGGATGTCCTCAATTGAGATTTCTCTAATGGCTTTCTTATGATTAGTGTGGTGAGAAAGAGTATCACAGAAGTGCTCTTATATCAAAGGGTACATGAATCAACATGAATGTTCACTGGTGATATTAACCTTAGTCACTGAATTAAGGTGGTCCC